ACCCTTCATTTACAAACAAAGTTCTACTGTTCACGAAAAAACTCGACCTATTTATACGTGAAATAACCTTGAATATTCTTACGCAATAACCTAGACCACAGTCTTGCACCTTAGGCTTGAGTATATTCTTGCACAATGACGTAGAGTATAATCTTCTGCCTTATGGCACGACTCTAGTACGTGACATAAAATATACCTCAACTATATTCTTTTTTTTCAGTAAAACTCAGCGGTAGACGTGCAATCGGCTGTAGCGATCATTAATATCCTAAGGTGAAACAGCGATACATGATCGTACGAAATCTTTCAACGTAATTTGCTAATCTATATATGTATATTCTTTCTACAGAGAAGAAATTTTCGTTTTTCTCATTACTAGGGGCAGTTTGAATTTTATCGGTGCTAGTTTAACTCCACTAAGGGAAGTCAATGAATTCCTTCTTGACTATCTCCAGCTACTGTTAGCTGAAGTTTTAGTGTTAGTAGAAAAATATGTGATATTTCGACAGCAATCAGAGCTATTCATATTTGGTCCGATGTAGAGGATTTCACAGAGAAGCGGCATCAATTCAACGTTCGCCTCCTTGGCCTGGCCAGCTAACGGTCATCTCCACAATGGAAAGTTCGAAGTGTAAACTGAATAAAACTAGTCTGCCTATTAGAAAGAGCACATCTGATAGTATATAAAACAGATGTCGCGAGGTTCTAAAAACATGTATAGAGAGAGGCTAAAATTTGTGAACGTAAGAATGTATGGTCAATGTACAAGTCATCTATGATTCACGAGCAAGAAAGAATGATTAAAAATAACACAAAAAAGGTTGTTTCCAGTTAATTTATACATATTTCGAAAGCTTAGAAGTTGCTCTTTCTAAAAATAGGCTTTTAAAAAATTTCAGACCTCGTTTTCTGCAAAATAAGAAGGTCGCAAACTGTCTGCAATTTTTGTGAAATTCCGAGACAAAATTAGCTGTTTTTTCAAATTTCAATATCCACATGATCGCCTTTGGGAAAGAAAGTTATATAGTTCGATCGATTTCGACGAGCTCTATCTAATGCACACCTCATTTTAAGTTTTAGAGCAAAAATAGGTCACGTTATAGCTTACATACTGCGTCTCGGAATTTCATAGAATTATAAAATTTTGAAATATCACCTTTTTTCTTTTCTGTTTCTCTTCTTCTTTTTTACTAAGCACATCTTTATTTGACCTAGTATATTCGTTTTTAGTGATAACCTTTAATTCTTTCGTCGGGCAAGGCCATTTCTCACCATAAGTGCCAAAATACTTTCACAGTATGTGTAGTATAAATGAAATTCAAATACATATTTGAATTTCATTTATACTACACGTACACGAGAAAGATAGAAAGAGGTTTGTTCCTTTTACAGTCATAAGTGATGGATTTTGAAAAGAGAATATTTATGAAGTGTATTAAAGTACGAGTATTCTCTGACTTCTCTTACACTTGGTGGAGCCCATCCTAGTTATAAACACAAGTTTTCACTTAAAGAATCTCTCTTCTTGTGAAAGTGGACCTAAAGGACCAAGTATCCACTTTCAACCATTGACTTTTTACATACTTTTTATACTACACATACTACACATTTATACTACACATGACTGTGTACGATGTTGATAAAATTAAAGTCAAAGTCTATTCTGACAGTAGTCGATCAAACACAGTCTATTTCTGATCAGTTTTATTTTTATTGTCGTTTTTCTTTTTGTTAGAGATACTTTGCTCGGTGATTTACTATGTGATTTGCATGTATGATTTCACATAAAAAATCAAGAGAATTATAGAGAAAGAGCTGTAATGAATAACAAACGGCACGAAAAGTTGATAACTAGCAAGGTAGAACTGGCCAAGATACGCGTAAAGCGTTTATAAGTACTTTATAAACAAATGCAGCGAGAAAAGATGAATTCCGAGACGACGACTAATTTCGGAATTTCTCAGGAATGGTTTCGGTTTATCACTAAAAAAAATAGATATTCTGAAAGCTTATTTCACGCTCTACAACTTACTCATAGAAAGATTTTCTATAGCTCTCTTCGTTTCGCATCAACACCCAGATCTTTCATGTCTTGTCAGAAAAGATTTCCGTTTTGTGAAATTCCGAGACGACAGGTATTTTTTGAATAACTCCTAGAAGATTAAGCCAAATGCACTCAAATTTTTACTGAAGACAGAACAGCTAGTTCTTCGTGTGTGGTAAAATTTTCAAATGTCTAGGTATAAACCCGACTAAGAACGACGCTTAAAATTTCGAAAAACGAAATTCCGAGACATTTGGCCAAGCCGTCCTAATAAACCGATAGCGATCGAAATTTATCGACGCGCAAATCATATAATTATATCTAATGAACTTTTTTTGGTCCTTACCTGAGCAAGAACTCTACCGCCTTTATTTGATTCTGAAAATGTATTATCTGTCAGATTAATCCATGTTATTCCTATATTATATCTTAACCGTTCTGCAATTTCTTTTCTGACTGTTAAATGTCTAAACAGAAGGAAACAAATACATATTCGTCATTGTTTTCTCTTGTAAAATAACGTCATACAGTTGAAGAAAAACAGGTTTTATTAGACATCTAAGGAGTTATTTACTTACTAAGGGAAACAAAATGACTAAAATTTATTTGTTTCCTTTCGTTTAGACATCGAACAATCGGAAAAAAAGAAATTTTCTTTTTTCAGATTTTTCAAGGACGACATGACACGCAGAAGTCGACATTTCTCTCCCAACCACTTGTTCGAGGGATATTTGAAGTGCTCGAAAATATGCTTTCAATGGGCCCTCACTGAGGGCGCAACCCCTGAGGAAATGAGACTTCGGACCTTCGATATAAGCGCTCGAGCGATTATCGATTTCGAGCCCTTAGGTTTTAGATATTTAGCGAGCCCTCCGAGTCATCGAATAGAGGCGTTCGAGATTTTCGAGCTCTTCTCGCACCCTCGAACCACGGACTCTACGACAACGGGAGTAGGGGGAATCCCCCTCCATGCTGTTTCAAATCTTTTACTCCCAAATTCGAAAAGTTATTGCTCTGGAAACGAGATAAACAATTAACACCATCTGGTGTATGCTAATAACGATAACAGCATGTGGAAACGAAGAGGAAAAGCTTCTGGGCTCTGATTTAGTGCTGCATAATGAGCAATCGTTGATTACTCATTATAAATACTCTCGATTTAAGAGTAAACATCAATATATTTTCTTTTCTTTGTTTAAAAGCAAAATCTGCCACGACTTGCATTTTGAAAGCATTGCATTCTTCTTGCTCTCTTTCACTAACTGGCTCCTAACTTCCGGAGTTTAAACGCTTGCCTCTTCGTGGCAAAACCGCGGAGTTTACTTCCAAAGTCAACATTTAAGGTTCAAGTTTTCATTCTTCAGATAATGATGACGAATCAGTACGTTTTACTCTTAAATGTAAAGAAGTTTATATTATATCCAAGACATAAACTGCGGCTTAGTGGAAACAACTAAAACCGGGAAAGAGTATTCGAAAAAGCACAGCAACAGATAAAAGTTAGAATAGAAATCAGCTCAGAAAATGAAAAATATGTTTAGTTTTATTGCAGAAACTTTAGCAAAAAACTTTAGCGCATGAAGTTTTTTGCAACTAAAATGTCTTGTATGTCAAAACTTACGTATTATTAGACAAATCAGATACTTACTCTCATTTTTGAAGCAATGTAGCAATGTAGATTGAGATTAAAGCAAAACTTCGTGAAATCATGCATTCAAAGTTCATTTCAAGCATGAAATTTTTCGAAATCAAAGTCACGGCCTCCACAGCTTTTAAAAGGTTTACTTGGAAAGACGATGTCCGAAGCTCGAAGAAAGGTCGAATTTCAACTTTTTATAGTTTACCAGCAAAGAGTAATTATAGTGTAAAAACAGGTGTTTTTCTGCACATTAACAATTGTAGTTGAGTTTGAAAGTACACTCAACCGGCAAACTAACCATACAGATGCGATCTCAGCAGTAAGACACAACAGCTTTCATTTTTCTTTTGCTTTCGTGTACTGTGCTGTGATTGTCATAAAAAATTCGTAACGATGATTAAGTCAAATTTTGCAAGAGTATTCTAAACAACAAAAAAGGAAAAAACAAGATGTATTGTTGACGGAAAGTTTTCATATAAATAAACACCTCTCTCTCTTCTCTTCACCAGCTTGAAATTGTTGTACGTCTTCCACTCGCCTTGACATGGGGTATCTACTGGACTACAATAATCTGCCCTGGTTTCCGTATTACTCGAAAACCTTCTCTACTGACTGTCTCATCCCACTCACCTCTACGAAAAGAATGGCTGACTAGAGGCACTGAAGGTGTGACAATGCACTCTCCATCAAGTTACAGATGCCAAATCATTCTGAAAGGGTAACTGAAGCTGATGAAAAGCAACTACAGGATCTTAGGCAGTAGTACGCTGAATTTCAACAGACGTTAATTCAAAATTATATTATTGAGTACGTGTGGTCAACGTTGAACTCGAATGTTTTCGATTTCAATTTTCAAAAAGTGTTACCGATTTATGAAGAGGAAGAGTGCCACCCCAGTCCACTTAGAAAGAGTATGGGTGTGTGTGTTTTAAAATCTTTTTGTTTCACTGTAAATATTTTAAAAATTTTCCATAATAAATAGCGTGGTTTGATCTTTTGGCGAACACAAAAGAAGTGCAAAGGGCCTTTGTAAATCCTTTATTTTCGTGTTTTCAAGGCTTGTCTACATGAATGACTGCCTGGCATTATGAAATGACGTTTTCTCTTGATTTTATCCATACTTGCTTTACCTTCAAAACATTTTCGGAGGCGAAACGGTAACACACTTTTTATTTGTCATCATGATATCCTTATCTTTATCATAATGTTTCTGTTCTTATAACAGAAGAAAACGTATAAATACTCTTATATAAAGAGAAAAGGCAAAGACAGTAAAGATAAGAGTTACTTTCTTAAAGTCTTCTCATGTCGGAAGTTATGGAGGAACCAGCACATGATAGCATTACTACTACTGCTACCACTACAATAACAACAACGACTACAATCATCTCTCCTCCAGAGTCCACTCCCAATTATTATGAACTTGGCGTACAGCACAAAGCAACAGACAACTTACCTAGTGCTCTTCGTATGTTTGAAAGCGAAATTTCGCAGAATCCAAAGAACGCTGAAGCATGGTTACAACTGGGCAGAACGCGTGCACTTCTTGGTCACAATACGGAAGCATTAGATGACTTACTTCATGTAACACATCTCGAACCAACAAACCATGAAGCGTATTACTTCCTTGGATGTGTCTACAATCTTTTGGGAAGGTATAAGGAGGCAATTGAAGTTTTAACAACAGCAATAGAGAAAGCAAGTGGTACAGCTAGCTCTAAATATTATTACAAGCTAGCCTATGCATGCCAAATGGATGGACAATATCGAGAAGCAGCTAAAAGCTACACGAAATATCTGTCTGTTGTGAGTGAAAACGATTATTCGGCTCTATTAAATCGTGGTCTCTGTTACTATAGTATGACTCAGTATAATAAGGCCTTAACTGATTTTGAAAAAGCAGTTTCTGTAAGCAGTGAAGAAGCTAAGCTCTATTGCTTGTGTTGTCGTGGTCGTGCAAAAGCTAAACTTGGGGATCGGAACGGAGCTGAAGAAGACTTTAACGAAGCACAGAGAAAGAGTAGTTCACCTTCACTATCATTCGAAGCGGGAATAACAAACAATGAACTTCACAAACATCGGGACGCTATTGAAAATTATAGTCGAGCTATCGTACAGAATGAGCACAAAGCCGATTCTTATTTTCGTCGAGGATTAAGTTACGCTATTCTGAAACAGTATGATAAAGCAGTAGCTGACTATACAAGAGCTATTGACGAGATACCGGGAAATAACCATCCCCGTGCTTATTTCCGAAGAGGCTCTGCCTATGTAGCACTGAATAAACTCGACGATGCTTTAAGTGATTATACAAGAGCTCTACACCTAGCTCAATATCACAAAGACGTTTATCTGATGAGAGCACACCTGTATTTGCAATTAGGACGTGCCGAAGAAGCGACAGAAGATTTTAGGAAAGCTACATTTTGCGAACAGGAAGAGCCACTGGAGGATGATATTCCTGGTAAAACTGAGCAAGAAGATCCCACACCTAAGTCAGAACCACCTCCAATTATTATTGATCCTAATAGTCCTTTTGGTGTTTTGAAAAATGGGTTGGAAAAGGAGAGAGCTGAGGAATACCGTGGTGCGATAGATACTTATAATCATCTGTTCGATTTTGATCCAGAACTCTTTCAACAGCAACTCGACAAACAAGCCCATCAGCGAGATTTCAACAGAACACAAGCACAGGCTGTTAAGGATACACTACAGAAGCATAATGATGCAATGAAAAAATTTGGAAATAATATGAATTTGAAAGTTTTTTATGCAAGTATACTCTTTCAGCTTGAAGAGCTCTTTATTGGGTGTAAAACAGTTGCAAGCGGCAGAGTAAACCCAAGCGAAGGACGACTTGGACAAACTGGTAATGTCATGAATTTAGTTGGTCAAGTTATAACACTAGTGCCTGTTGCTGGTGATAAAATAAGCGCAATTCTACAAGCGGCAGCTACTCTGGTAAAGAAGATCGATTCTAACCGTCAAAGAAATATTATGACGGCCATAGCTCATTCAGGCATTCTATTATATCTATGGGAAGTATCACAATCAGTTGCACAAACATTGGCAGAACGTTATCAGCCACTTATAGAGCAATTACGTCAGCCAGACGATGGGCAGGATAAAACTCAACCTGTTGGAGCACGAGCGGTCGAAATTGTTGAATCAGAGTACTGTAAATGTTATACCAAGACCAGACAAACGGTTTTTCAAGAAGCAGAAAAGACAGAAGCCAAAGAAATTGGCGAATATGCAGTTGTTCTTATGTTAGCGGCTCTACAGGACAGCAAAATTGCAGGAGACGGCCTCAGTCAGTCATTAGACCAAGAATTACTACAGGTTGTTTGTATTCCTATGAATGAAGAGAACAAAAATACTGAATTTTACTTCAGCAAACGGCTCATTGTGACAAAAATGGATAAGACATGGACGTTAGATGGATTTTATCGGAAACCTGGAATTCGTATAAAGGATGAAGAAGAGCAATATGCAAGCGATGAAGCCAAGAAAACAGACTCTAAACACTACGGATTTCGATTAGGTACAAAAGCAGAGGTAGAACAGCTGGGATTGGTGCGAGTACAAAAATGAGGGAGTTCGAAGTAACATTCCTCATCATTATAAGAGAGGTTGAAAAATCGAATTTTTTTGCGCCAGACGGATCGAGCTGAAATTTTGGGAAATGAATAGTGACTATTACTTATTCATTTTCTGAAAGTTTTATCTTTACACATATAATGGTTACACAATAAATGTTCGTCACGATGGCAAGCTAGTTTAACTTTCGAGTTTGACTCATACCCACAAGGTACTGTGTTCGAATCTCAGCATCACCAAAATATGTAATTTGTTTGGGCAAGTTACTCATGGTCTATTGCCTCGGATTACCCGTCCGATAGCGACCTCACTATATTGTGGCGCACAAGAGAGTGTTTACACTCTTTCAATGTGTGTCAGCCTAGTTGAGAGAGTATGGGAAGCTCAAGCAATTGGGCGAGAAGAACTCTGAGTCAGGCCAGCCTTCTGTCCAGAGCTGCAACGTGGTGATTAGTAAAGGAACGTGTGAACTTCCTCCAAGATCATCAGCTGTAGGAAAAAGTATCGGGCTAATGAAACTGTCTTCTGACAGCACCCTACACCGCAAGGTAGTCGCTCTTTTATCAACCATCTAGTCATAATGGTTGATAAAAGAGAGCTAAAATTGCTGAGAAATGGAGCTTTTCTTCCATATTTGCACGAACATACATTCTTCATTAATTAGGCATACATCTTGCATATAAAGTATATCTAAATTACACTATCTCATACCTTCTGCTTTTATCAATCTGACTTCTTTAATTTCTCGTATAAAAAATTCTAGTCATTATTCTAGCTACGAGCATTAAAAATTGCAATTTTGTTGATCTTTTTGTTCGAAAGTTAAGAAGAAGAAGAATACCCCGCCTTGCGACTACCTTGCGGTGTAGGGTGCTGTCAGAAGACAGTTTCATTAGC